TATCGCGGATTCGCTTATAACCAATTTACTGCAAACGCTCATTTAGCGATTATTTATGTCGTCATATACGTTGACTTTATTCGATATCTTTTATTTGATACCGGCATTTCGAATGATTGGCTGTTGTTTGACATCCCAGGTGTGGCTGCGCTTGATGTGCATGTTGACAAGGTGGCTACCTGTCTATTACCCACTACTTCGTTCATACTGGCTCCTGGAGACAGTTGGTCGTGGCTGGAGGGGACGGGGTGCACGATCCTTGTGGTCGCGCTAGTCTCGAAGAGTGGTTCCATGCACTCAGTGTGGAGCGGACTACGGTCCAGCCACCGCCTTGTGTGCAGTTGATTCCCCAAATACAGCGTGCTTGTGTTTATCTGTGAAGGAGTGTGGGCCGGCTCCGTTGATGAAACGTGGCTCCCATCCGCATGCCTCCCGGTCTTATTCCTTCGGGTTTACACTGGATATGGGGTGTGTGGTTGGAGCTGTGGGTGGTGCAGCGCAAGCCATCCATGGTCCCTCTGTAGGCGCAGGCGTCCTGTGGCTGGCCACAGTGACAGGCGAATCCGAAACCGGATGCCGCCGACCATATATATATATATATATATATATATATATATATATATATATATATATATATATATGTATATATATATATGATTTGACAACGAACGGCTCCCTTTTCTGCGATCTTCTTCCTGTATGTTGCTTGGAGAAAAACTTTCACTTTTCCTCCCGGCACATATCTATCCACAATCTCTTGGCGTTGTTTGGGCTGAAAGCTGAGCTGTTCCAATCCAGTTTGCCCCTATATCCCTTTTTACTGTTTCCAGGCGCATTTATACCTACTCTAGACGCGCCAACTTGCGTTGCAGATCCGCGTTACTCAGCTATATGATCTATGTTTGCATTTTGGTGACAATTTCCGGGCGGTGAACAACTGCGGTTGTTATATCCTCATCATATTGTTCAAAGCAGTGGACGATGCTGTCAAACCAGACACAAATGTGTTAGCGTGGACTTTCAGCAACAACCGGTATATATGCTATTTTTAGGCGCTTTGTTTTTGTGCTATGGCACAGGTTCTCGTAAATCTCTTGCAGTGCATTCTATACCACAGCATAGTTCAGCGGATATGACAAGCATTGACATTGCCGACCCGTTGCACTCTTCATCATCTACTTCCGCATAACAATTAAATCGGTTAGTTTCTACGTTCATCCGTTATTTTCCCTGGGCTATGTTTCTATTCTTTTGGCACCCCTCTTGGATTCCCGCTCCTTATGAGTTAAGACAGTTCTTGACTGTTGCCGATAATCCTACTTTCCCGCCTTATCAAGTTGGGTCCCATGCAGAATAGCGGTTTGGCCATGCTGCAATTCAATGGTGACACACCCATCATTGCTAACCGGATGTGGCATGTGTAGTTGTGGCCAAAAGAATCTGTACACCCGAGTTTCCTGACTCCATCCATGTTTCCATGCTTTGACCGCGTCAGTTCATTGCGCTTCGGCTTTGGTTGCAACAGCTGCACTCTTCTCCTTCCTGACTTCAACGGTGCCTGAGCGTCTCTAACTCTCAGTTGAAACAAAAACCGTAAGTCATCAGGTGCGTTCCTCTTCGGGGATGGAACCGGATGTCGTGAGCGGTGTTGTGGGAAAACAGCACCGGGACTCTCCGCTTCGGTTGCAGTTGTAGTGCCACAAAGGACGGATGGTGATTTCAATGTAAGCCATGACCCCAGTTGAGATTACATGTCACAACCCGGACATACTTCGGGTGATCCAAAACCCAACAAATGACAATCAGGATTTTGTCAGTCTCCTGATCATCCAGGTTAAAAATTAGAAATCAGATGGCCTCCATTTCTATAAAACCGAATCATTACCACCCGTCTAGTTTGCGGGTGGGCTTGTGAGTCAAAGGCTCTGATTGAGGACTTTAATGTTTCCCCTGTCTAGGTTTGTGCGCCATGGCAGTATCTCAGCCCACATGCAATCGACTATTTCCTCAGAGTTCAACCACAGTTCAGTTCAATTCAGTATAACAACTAGGTTCCAAGCACCGAAGTGCGGTGGATCCGGTAGCCACGACTCACGTCGCAAGAATAACCATAAAGAACAACGGTAAGCTAATGGGTTTGAATTTATGTTGATCGTAGCAAAAGTGAAAGCAAAATCGAAGTGCATTAAACTACTCAGAATGGAACGTAAAGTAGTAACCAGATGCAAGGAACCGAATGTAGGTACGCCACTAACTGCGTGACTGCCCCTATGTCTTGTACGGTTTCCAACCATTGATGTGAACTATCCCGAGGCCCCCATCCACGCAGACAGCACGCATCAGCATGACCAATCCTCCCAGTCAGTTTCTTCATGCCTTCATGTCTCGTCATGGGCTGGGCACCTCGCGGTTTCACCAAACTTGGTGCGGACACGGCGTATAATGCACGCCAAGGAAGCTGGTCAATGGGCATACGGAAGACAAACTTCAGCCACATCCTTCATCGGCCGTTACGCAGCTTTAAAAGGGCTATCTTATCTGTTGATACAGCAGAGCGGAGAAGAAAAATGCTACCGCTAGCGCCTCCTTTCTTTTCCACCTGCCCCTTCCATCCAACCCCCGTGCTAATTTCTATGTCTCCCAGCTTGACAGCAGCTGCAATATCATCCGAGTTCCGCCATCTGCATCTCCGCTCACGCATCATCCACTGGATTTCTATCGACAGCAGCCCCTTATAAGGCCGTGATGTCCCGTTTTCCCGGACGTTCGCACTCTACGACAAGTATGTCAGCAGGCTGCAGTCACACGCATCTTGGACGCACTGGTTAATGACGTGTATAGTTTGTCCGAAACTAGGATCAATGACCCTAATGGGGTTGTCGAATTAACTGCATCCGGCTTGTCCTCTCGCTATTGGTTGAATGCATCCAGAGACGCTGATACGGTAACGGCTAATCATGCTGGGGTGGGCATTGCTCTCAGCTCCAAGACTGTCGTCTTTCGTCATATGGATTATTGTGAGCAGCCTTTTTGCGTACAGCCCGTTTGACGACACCAACTGAGGTTGATTCACGAATCAGTACTAGACGTTTATTTGTGGTTTCCGCTTATGCCCTCGTCGACTACAGTCCTGCTACTGTTTAGGACACCTACCACGAATTGTACAAGTTGTTTCGGGGTATTACCAGTTCAGATATTATTGTTGTTGCGCGAGTAAGTCATCAGAACTCTTCGGAAAATGTGATAGTTCGTATGCATAGGCATTACTCCGACTCTAAGGACAAAGGCGGGCGTCTGTTAGAGCTGTGCACGGAGCACCGGCTGTTTCTTAGTATCACCGCTTTTAGGCACAGTGGATACTGAAGTGTCACTTGGCGTCCCTCAATAGCTGGCCTGCAATGGACCCAGCTAGATTACGTTGCCGGTAGTGGCGGGGTTCCATCTTGGATTGTCGCTCCGTCTGGAATACCTGTGTTTACTTCGATCATGCTTTGGTACGCTTTCGTTTTTCCATAATTTTGATGGGCGACGTAACACGCGCTTCCCCGATTGGCAACTGAGGAGTCATCTCAGTCATCCGTCAAACAAGCCTTCCACGATGCTTTCCTTCACCCTAATGGCACAGCTTCGTTGGAATGGAACTTTGACTGTCATGCGCGATGCGGGAGCCTCTGCTGGCGGCACCATCAGTCGTCCTCGCACTGGTTATTGTAATCCAGAAGAAGACTCCCTGCTGATTCTGACCATAATGTAACCAAACGGACTGCGATACGCTAACTAATGTCTAGTCTACGTTCTGACACGGGTGCCTGCTGGAACAGTAAGGCCCAAGAAATGGAGGAGGCGGGAACAGTAGGCATTTATCGCAAACTTTTCCAGCTGATGGATACCACTTGTCTCAGGTAACCAAGCAACAGTGACAGAGCGGGTGCTCTGATTTACAATAGGGAATGACGTATGGCTCGTTGGTTGGAGAACTTTCAAGAGCAGATCACTAGACCTCATGCTCATGGGTCACTTCCTGCTCAGGTTGTGCAGCCTGAATCGTATGGAAACTTCACCGGAATTTGCGGTCCGAAACGCCCTTAATCGTTTTCATGCTGCTAGTCCCGATTCCCTTGAACTCGCATTATTTAAGGTCGGTGAGATGTCCTCTGTTCGAACAAGTCTAGTAGAAAGAGCATCGATCATAGTGGCAATATCCAAGAAGAGCAGTCGCGGGGTTAGTGGACGGTGAAAGCCACAACGACGCTGTCTCGCCCATGTCACCTTATCTTTGCGGGATAGCCAGCTGTTCGTGACGATGTGTTTTTGACAAAGCGTTAGCGCCTTGCTTCTGAATGTTTGCTTAGGGCACTTAGATTTTACGCTAGGCCCCTCTGTCTTATTTTTCATCGTTCCCTAGGTCATTGTGGTTTTGTGGCAGCGAAGCATCAGTTCAAATGGCTGGTGTCATGCTGATGATGACTAGGTTGTCCAAGACACCCGCTGTACAAGCACCCTTTAATTACATAGGCCATCCCATGTCACTACAAAACGTTGTCCGATCAACACCCTGACATTGATTGCCTACGGATACCTCGTATCTTTATCCCTTAGATTCGCTTATCCGTTTCTGGCTGTTTTACACGAACAGTGTGTTTTGCGCCCTCTGGTTCTTGTCGTTATACTGGCCCATGTGGATGACAGCACTACAAAGCCAGATGCAGCTTAGTCTTTGTGATATACTGCTGCTTTTCACTGGTCACTTGTGAATACAAGTTGGATATCAGGTCTCTATACCCCATCTGTGCAGTTCACGCTTCGTAATAATTTCTGATTAATTCTCTCTTATTGCCTCTACCTACACACGGAGCATGTAGTGTACCGCTGACATGTAGATTTATTGTGGCTGTCCCACCTTTCAGTCCACTCGGTCGGGTATTGTTGGGAGTGACATTGATTTTTTTAGTGTTTAACTCCATCCACTGTTTTTGCCTTGTTACCTGCTCTTCTTTCAGCCAGCAGGCGTTGCACTGAGGGTATGTTGGACCAAGTGGAACACTGCAAGTTGGTCGCCGCGCAAAGCGCAGAAACAGCTTTTATCAAACTGTCCAACACTTTAACACTACAAATCAGAGATCTCGTCCATGAGGTAGGTGAATTTTTGTCTTTCTGGTATTAATAACTACTAATCGAATCCTTTAGCTCACATGATCTGGTTCATCAGTTTCAGTCATCCTTGATAGGCGGTTGGTATCTAAGCACAATTTTGTTGGTTTTATGACACCGTTGGGCTGATAACCGGTTGTATAGGAACCCCATTGTAGATCGAAACTGTATGGAATACTGAAAGTGAAGAGCTAGATGACATACACGTGTGTTGTTTCATCGATATCGTGTCGGGTACGCACGCGGAATGTTATAGGCGTTAAGTCAGAATTCTGCTGCACTTCTCCTATTCTTTGATCCAAATCCCCTACACCACCCACTACTTCCCACCACGATGCTCATGCCATCCAACGGCCTCTGTCTCCACGCTTTTTGAGTGCCGATATCTTGCTACACTCTCAACTGAAATTGAGAACGTCATATCAAATCATCTAAAGTCTACTACCTGGTGGAAGTCTACCTATTTTACCCGATAGCCACTTGTTACCTAGCTTATCTGAAACAACATTTATACTCTTCCGGAATCCCTTCAACATGTGATGCTTTCCCAGTCACTCGGATAGCCCAACTGTGCTTGCAAGTAGGATTCCAACATTATACCTCTGTCGCTGGCTTTGTCAGGACCATGAAACCCTGTTCCATTTATATCCATTGGTCTCGCTTGCTTGATTAGCCCTGTCTTGGGGCCATATGCTCTGGAACCCGGATTTCTGGATTTTTTTATCCCATTGCAGTGTGATGTGGACAGAGCGTGGCACACATACTAGTCTTATCAAGATCTGCGCAGTTATTGGATCTTAACTGGCTTTTACAGGCTTCCTGCCATTGTCACTGATCGTTGTAAGTGCACATCAACGGTAAAACGCTAAAATACGAGCGCGACTGATCGTGGTCGTGTGGTAACGAAGCGTGGGTATGGCGTAGTGCTGATACCTTTCTTCCTTCTTTGATCGGATGATGCGTGACATGACCACCAGAATATTTTTCTGGCACGATAGCTATGAGTCCCTCCTAGATCAACATAACCGAGCCGACTCCACTGACACGTTTATTTTGATTTTCTCAGTGAAGTCATCTTCCATGTACCTAACATGAACTTATAGATTTTGTTATCGTAGATTTTGTTAAATTTCTTCGTGTTCCGTTTTGTTTCGCATCAATCGCTCCTTCGCCCTACTCAATTTTGGGTGGCCTGTTGTGCCCCCTCTTGCTAGTACATTGAACCTTCCAACGTTGTGCGGTTCTATGTTTGTCTTTCGCTGTCATTACTCCGGTTCGTACACTTTCCAGTAGGATTTCTTCTTTCCTCTAGGTCTCCGCGCAATGGAGTAATGGTTATCTTTCCAATAAACAAAATGAAACTCACACAAATCTCAGGGCAAAACTGCGTGCTAACCTACAGAGAGACAGGAAAGCCTGCTGCTCTCATCGCGCATCGGAACTGGAAAGGTCGGCTGTTGTTGGTCACCGTCGTAGGCTATTCTGTCTGATAGAGGAGACCGGCAGCGGGAGATCTGATGTTAGCGACACCATACGCGACGAGAGTGGACAGTGGATCCACAGCTTGTCAACACGTTTGGAGCGTTCGACCGAACACTGAGAAGCAGTTCAATCAGTCAAAGTTGTCGGCTTCTCCACCGGCCAATGATCGCCCGACTCTCTCGATCCACAGTCACGCACAGAAATCTAACGTAAGATCAGACTGTTGAAACCGAATAAAACCGCGGAGGGCAGATAGAATTCCTCCAGCTCTATTCACATTTGGCGGACCTGCTCTTCTAGACGATTTACACGAGTTACTAGTGAAACGGTGGGAGCAGGAGACTGTTCCAACAGACTAGTTCGGCTCCGTCATAGTCCCAATTTTCAAGCGAGGCTCACGATCACAGAGTGATCAGTTTGATCTCATTTGCCTCTAAATTGCTTGCGTCTGTCGTTCTGACTGTCTGACCTTGGTGAAAGTCAGATTCGCGAGGATCAAGCCGGATTTCCTCGAAATTGTGGCTACATCAACATCTTTACGTAGATTGCTGGAGCATTGCCATATTTATTGGCGACCTAACGTAGTCGCGTTTCTCAACATCAAAGGCGCCTTCGATTCCGCTGATCTATGTGCCCTTTGGGACTGTCTGCCGAGAAAAGATGTGCCAAATAAATACGTAGATATTGTCAGAGCGCTGTACGCGCGTAGTTTGGAAAGAGTGACGGTTTATGGCCAACTGTCTCCGCCCTTCAGTATCTCCTGCAGTGTAAAGTAAGGATGCCTGCTGTCATCTTTACTCTTTAACTCCACCATTGGCGAAGTGATGGAAGTACTGTTCTCTGAACACGACCCACAAAGTGTGGAGTTTCTTCCTGGTGAGCGACTTCTTTACGAAGGATCCTGATGACCATGTCCCCATATGTGACAACGCCCAAACGCGCCAAACAGCACTAGACAGAGTAACACCGGCTGTCAGTTGTTTTAGGCCATGCTTTGTGTTGCGGGCACGTTAAATAACCCCGCAAAATGCGCCACAAACTCCAGTGCGTGGGCTGTGAGACGCAGAGTTCAATTCCTGTCCAGCCACTCGGAGTCAGAGCACAACTAGGCTAAAGTGGACAATGTTCTTTCGCAAACTACCAGCCCACCCACAAAATGAAGCATTGTTCCAGCCGTGATTCGGCCTTTGTGGGTCGTAAAAATAGCTCCCGTGATTAATGGGCGTGTTCGGCATCGTGTATTTTATGCAGGAAAAGCTAGTGAACCGCTCAGCACCATTATAACACGCACCAGGCTCTGATGTCTGGGCGATGTGTTGCATATGCCAGCCCACCGACTCCTACGACGTGCGCTTTTTGCGCGCCGGAGGTCTGGATGGAAGATGAGTAGGGGAGATCAGGCAATGACTTAGTCTAGAGAAATGAAATCCCTCACTTCAAAGTTTGCGTCGGTTGGTGCATCACGACTGCTTAGCTGGGGTCCTAAGGACTATGAACTCGGTTGATTGGACGTATTTGCTGATATGGCTAGGAGCCGGCTACAAGGACATTCGTAGTGTGTTTCTTTGTCCCTCACCATCTGCTTTAGATTCCCCCCAGTTACAATCTCAGCGATTGAATGACTTGACATTATTTGATTTTTGTATTGTGATACATTGGCCGAGACATGTTTCTCACCTTCAGCTAACGTATATTGTTGTTGTTGATGATGATGGTGGAGATCCAAGCGATTCTGCTAACCTGGGCGATGGATATTAATCGGTTGCAGTTGTTGTCTTTCACAGGGCTTTCAGCGTACTTAGTGTAGTTCGGATCCGCGCCAGAGTTCCCTTTCATACATCTGGCACGTAACTTTTCGCAACGGCTACCGTAATGGCGATTGTTTTGATCTCCTTCATCACTTACTCACTCCAATCTATTTTTGCCCTTATCCAGTCTCTTCCTCCCCGAAATGCTCGATCAAGAAATCTTGCTAGTTTGGTCGCTGTTCTTACTTATCCTGCACATCTAGCTGTTTCAACCAAAGTCGTGTCCAGATACACACTAACATAGCTGCTCCTCTGAGCATCTCCTTTATCTTAAATGCTCGCTGCTAGTAACAGGCCGTCATTGTTCGCGTATTCGTGTCATTGATTACGTTTTCATTCAAATCTCACTGTTGTGATATTTTTGGTTTCTCTCCCGACAAAACGTCGACGTATAACATGCTCGTGGACTCTTCGCGGTACTACTTCGAGACCTTATGTTGTCTCACTGGTCGCTACCATAGCTTACTCTCTCAGCTGTACGATTTCGCTCCATTTTCGAGCGCTATTCCAGTGTTTCCCTCGATGACTGTTTGCAGGGTGCCCGTTAGATCGCCATCGCGCAATCCCGTTGATCCAAGTAAACTTCTTGATCTCGTCTTTATCTTCATTTATTTTCTGTAGGCCTTGTTTCAGAAATTAAATGACACGGCAGTGGACTCTACGCTGCGATCTAAACTGGAGTCTCTGGTTCAACAGTTATCGGAAAACGCCGTTCGGAAGGCATTGCATGGTACGTTTTGTTGCTACATCAGGCATTCGTCTGTCCTCCTTTTCTTTTTGCACGAATGGTGATATGCTGGTATTACTTGTATGTGAAGCACCGTTTCAGTCCAGATCCTCGTCACAAAGCCGGTCTTTAGCCACAATGTACCGCTGTTCATACCGGTTGTACGTCCACATAACCGCTAATTCTGGTTCCCTCTCGGCTGCCATGAAGAAGTCACTCATTTAAAACAGTGAAGGTCCAAGTTGATTCCCGAAGATGCACTGTTGGGCAGCAATTTTCATGTCCTGTTTACTGTTCCGGTAAGTCCATCACTCGTTAGCACGAGTCGCAAACGGCGGTCCCTGGGGGTGTTTCCAGTGTTCTACGGTTCTGCCCCTCTGATTTATCAATGAATGCACAGGTTCATTCACGGATCTTATCGCTCTCCAATATCTGCTGACAGTGATTATCATCGAGTTATAGTGGTTTGTACGTCAAATATTTACGGTACTATCCACACAGATAACGTATATCGAAGTAACTCAGCTGGATATCGAAATATGACTTTATCTGAGACCAAACTTCTAACACCTACCATCAAGTTTTCAGCAATTGACGGTTAGTTTGTGAACACTCTCCGTTCGTCTGTGACATTATGTGATGTCGCGCTGTACTACTTAATCAGTCGGCCGAGTGGTATGCGCGTCTGGTTTGCAACCATAAGGTCAACGGTTCGAATCCGCGTAGGGGCGGGCGTCCTCGCGGTAAACTCAGCCCACGCGCGACTGGTGGTGGTTGCGTGGCTGCGAAGCGCTGGTACGGCGTACAGCTGGCGACTTTCTTTTCTTTTCGACTACTTAATCATTTTCTATTTCCCATATCGTACAGTTGAAGTTCCTGTGTCTTTTCTGTTACATCTATCATTTGCACGAGTAGTGCCCCCTGACCCCGCCGTTTCCACCTTTAGAGCCACTGACTATTCCATTTGAAGACCCTCAATTCCTGTGCATTCCTCGATATTTATTATTATTGTTATTATTACTATTACTATCCTTTTGGCAACCATCTACCATGGTAACCGCATCCATGGCACCTAGGTTCTCAGATTGAAGTTTGCAAACTGAACTGAAAGCTATCATCTACCATTCTTTTTGTCCCATCTTAATTATAATTGCCCGCAGACTCCCCCATTTATTGTACGTGTTTAGTTTTTTTGATTTAGACCCTGCAGAATTTGAATGAATCGTTGACGCATCTGAACTTAAATTCCATAACTATCGGAACAGTACTCCGCTTCTCGGATGTGTGAAAACGGTTCAGGTTAGGTCAGCTTCGTTTCTCTAATCACCGGAGTGCACCATTGGCCCTGCTGTTTCGGCGGGTGCCGATGTCACAGCAAATAGCAGCGAAATTGGGAAAATGAGGACAGATAAGCTGAATTTGAAATGAATTGAAGAGCGTTCAAATGATACGATGAAATGAACCAAGGGTTGAATGCATAACACAGAGTGCAAGTATCGCACAGACCTCTCGATTGTGCTATTTCACTATGTGGTCTGATCCACTGGTCCCCAATGTGTGAAAGATGACAGGCATCAGCGAATGTTTGGTCCACTGTCACCTTCCTGTCCTTTCACCACATACCCTTTTGCATCGTTCATTCGAGCGTACTATCAGCAGACAATACGCTCCAACAAGGACGTGGAGAGTGCAACCTAACAAGCGCAGGCTGAATGGGAGGTATGGCTTAGTATCACACGGCCTGTCGCAATACATCAGCCGCCAGTCCATCCCTATGTGTAGCTAATTCTTCGTGGACGTCGATGATTGCGGGCACATTGTCAGGTAGATTGCTTCAACACTCATTGACGACGTCTCCTATTCACACATTCGCAGCTACCGCAGTTCACTGTTTCTCACATTCTGCTTTTCAACGACGATCGATATATCAATATCATACGGGGGAACAAAGCCGCAATGTTCTTGTTTATACTCGCAGCGGCCTCTTTCGTTTCCCGATCAATTTAGGTCATACGGCCACTTAGATCGATGAACTGTTCGGCCAATTGGGTGGCGTATCGTTCCAATCACACACAACAATCCAGCGCCTCATGTCAGCCCAGTTAGAGGCAGTTCTTTTCGTTTAAGCATCTTGAGAGCAGTATTTCGATGGAGCTAATCGTCTTCATTCTCGTCCCCTCGTAGTTGCTGATAGACAAGGAAGGGTCAATCAGAATCTAGTCTCATAATATCATGAGACGCAGCACTGAATGTAACACTGTTAACATCTTGATGGCATCGCGTCGGTAGGAGCCTCGGGACAAGAGTGGTCCATTCAGGGACTTGGTTCACCATAACTGCATATACACTACTCAAACGTTCGCTCCGCTTGTGTCATTCTTACTTCTCCTGCCAATGTTACCCGCAATACGACTTATTTGCTGTGTGAGCAAGCCCGTTCCTTTAATCTTCCTGACCCACTCTGGCACAATGCATCGCTCTTGAGAAAAGTAAGATGGAACATTCCTGTCCGCCAAATGAACTATGCTACTCAGTCATAGATGGTAATTCGTATAGGCTTGGTCATCGTCTGTTCTTAGCGACGTTATTGGGACATGATTCTATGCATGTCTACTTCGCATCCGACGAATATATTGCAGGAAAACTGCTGAATACGGCACGGCAAAACACGATTTTAGAACCTTGCGCTCGTAAAACTTAGTCAACCCTCACTCTGCGTTCATCTACCGCATACGATGTTTCTGTTCGGGTGCATAGGTTAGCTACCTGAGCGCAGCCACAGCGATAAGCGACTGCGTCCGTCCGTATGGACGGAATCTTCACCCGTGTAGTCTTTCTCCCGACTCCTCTATCTCCTAACGTATTAAGTCGGAATGATGGACGTACTTATGAGCCTGTCGATTTTGAACAATCCAAGCTTTGTTTTCCTCCAATGATCTTCAAATAAAGTTAAATATGTATGTTTACCGACAGGCAGTCTACAACCACTAAATGCGATGCGACTAGACTTCACTCTATGAGCCGCGTCCGTACGGAATAGTTTGCGCCTGTCCATCGAGTTCGCCTAAGTTAAGTTATAGTACTTTGCTGGGTCACGTCTTGAACTGTAGGATTTTGGAGTACCCTTCATGTGTTTGGACTGACATGCGCTATTTGTCGCTTACTGCAAACACTGCACACAACGACTGGTTTCCTCCTGATTCGAATTGTCCCACAGCAAACTTCTAAACGCTGTATCAGGCGTCATCATTCAACCACTGTGCCATGGTTCCACTTCCAACAAACAGGGTCATGCAATAGGAGCGAACAACGCAGCAGTTTGCCAGGTTTCACCTCGTGTTGATGACCCGAGGTCAATAGGTCAACCAAACTGACCCTGAACACCGTCGCAGGTCTACATTGACCGTGTTTCGTCATTCTCGGTTTTCATCGAACACGGGATGTTCTCACAAATTCGTTTTTCTAACCTCCCCGTTTAATTTTGTGTTTGATGCAATGGCAAATGCGCCTTTCCGGCAGCTAGAGATTTGTGTAGACAGCATTCCGGCCTGTCTATATGTGCCGTACGGGCGGTGAGTTGCAAGTGACTCGCTAGAAACGTGGCGCTCTCCCTGGGTTATTGTGCTTGCACTGTGGGAAAACGACACAAGTGGTATGATACAATAACTGTCCGTCCCTTCGGAATGTCCCGGTCTGGTCAAGTGAACTGTGTCGCAGTTGGTTCTTTATTCTCTCCGGATTCTTTTCCAAATGGAAATCTGTCGATTTTAACAGGTCGATCTGTCTTGCACAAACATCTCTTGCAGATAGCGCAGGTTTCGCATTCAATGTCACAGGCAGGCACTATGTTATTTGGCTATCCAATCACTATCGAGTCGGCTGTGCCACGCCCTCTGCTTACCGTAGCCGGCCCTGTATGTAGTTTGGTTACGTTAAATACTTCACCAAATTTACCGTCTGTGAGAATCACCCCACTGTAAAGTCTCAACTTGTGTTGCTTCCTTCTCGACACTGACGGTTGCATGATGTGTTGGATAGCCCCATTTCAATTCGAGTCACTGATACATTTACACGCGATAAATATCTATATCATCATTCGTGTTTGTCAACACCTTTGCACTCGCAAAACAACTTGCTATTACAACATGGAAACATGTATCAAAATCATATCCCATTTCTTGGATCTCACGAATCCACTCACTTATTTTGTCAAGACTAATATTTGATCAAACTGAAATCGTCACTTTTCTGATTGTGCAATTCTGGTATGCCTCATGTAACACCGAGAATAAACGTATATAGGCATTGATTTTGCCGAAGTGTCATCCAGGAAATGAGGCATGTATCACGTCAATGTTCCACACCTGAATACCGATGCTGACACTTCACTCTAATACACACAGTTTTATTGAGTATCGTACTTGTTTGTATCTCGAGACTGAAAACCGGTTGCCCGTTATTTTTTCATTTTACTGCGCATATTCTTCGCGCCTTACAACTGATGTATTTTCCTCCCATATCTTGCCAGGGAGTACCTCAATACATGGAACCACCACTTTTGACAGTGTAACAGGAGACTCCGTGCTCCTTCAAAAAATTGTCGATGCTTCTTTGCAACGCTTCGCTGCTGATCGCACCGGGATGACGGATTTTGCCCTGGAGTCCGCTGGTGGAGCCATCGTGGGGACACGTTGCACACGTACGTACACAGACGGTGCTGCCTTGTTCAGGGTGTTCGGAATACCTCTTGCTCGACTGAGCAATTCTCCCAGGTACATCTTCTCGTTTGGCGCAGATAACTGATTATCGGGTACCTAGTATTTCGTTCCTTTTAATTCATTTTCTCTCATACTGCGTGAACCGGTATTTCGTTGGATCACAACTACTCAGGTGGAGAGTGAATGAATTCCGCACTCCTGTTCTGTCCGCTAAGCTGATTTTTGTGAAAGCGGATAAAATCAAAGACACTTCAGTTTTAAGTTATCCTATACTACCACATATTACCGTCCAGCTATAAGCCAGTATATCAAACGACTCCACAAAAATTAGCAAAAATGGGAATGAAATTGTTTATTCACCATTTAGACGTCGTCACTACTTGCTGTCACTTGAGTGTGTTCAAACGAAACATGCTATACCATTGGTCAGTTGTGGTAACCATAATGTATAAGCGTTTTTGCCTTGCTGCCCAAAATAACACTTCAAATGCCCGTCTGGAATACCGTCCGTCACTACCGAGTGGTGCTGTGGGGAGACAGGAGCAGTGGTGTGCTGTGAATTTCTTGGTTGATTTTGCATTTGATGTTTTTACAATTACGTATAACCTTTCTAAAGCCAACCACCGTTTACATAAATGGAAAATTGTCAAAAAGTGATCGACTTACATTCGGTAGTTGACGGTACTACTTACTATGAGGATGAAACACCACCAGGTTAACCAAACCCCATCAGATACCATCTTTTGGATTAAAACCCACACTCACTCTGGTTTGACAATCAGTACGCCAAGCGATAAATGGCTCTATATCTATTGTATAGACAGCTGCTATGATATATATATATATATATATATATATATATATATATATGTATATATATATACGGCCCCATGCGAAGGCTGATGTTGAATTCTTGTTGCTTCTTCACCGCAGTTGGGCTAAACCAACGTACACTTAAACTAGGTCTTCTCAAGCCGGATAAATTTCATTCCACTTTATTTGGTTTGTTCTGCCTATCTGAATAATCTTCTATTAACTGGCCACGTTGCTTACGCCAATTGCGCTTATCTTCGGTCACTTTGTTGCGTTTGTAGCATTTTTAAGTAACTTGTGGACATCTCTTACCTATCGCGGATCCGTTGCTAACCAACTTACTTCATATGGTAATTTAGCGAACAGTTATGCCACCGTATCTGTATGCGTTATTGGATTTATTTTATTTCAGGTTGTCGTTTAAAGTGAATGGCTGTTGCTTGATATCCCCAGTGTGTCTGCGCTTGATGTGCATGTTGACAAGGTGCCTACCTGTCTATAACCCACTACCTCGTCCATACTGGCTCCAGGAGACAGTTGGTCGTTGCTGAATGGGACAGGGTGCACGGTCCTTGTGGCCGTGCTAGGCCCGAAGTGTGGTTCCATGCACTCAGTGTGGAGCGGACTACGGTCCAGCCACCGCGTTGTGTGCGCTTGATTCCCCAAATACAGCGTGCTTGTGTTTGCCTGTGAAGGAGTGTGGGCCGGCTCTGTTGATGAAACGTGGCTCCCATCCACATGCCTTCCGGTCTTATTCCCTCGGGTTTACACTGGATATGGGGTGTGTGGTTGGAGCCACCCATTATCCTTTCTGTAGGTATAGGCGTTCTGTGGCAGTGACAGGCAAATCCGAAACGGCGAGGCTGTTTTTCTCAGTTGCTAGCACAGCGACACACTGCGCCGGCTTTACATCTGCATGAAGGCCAACTACCGATCGATCGAAGTATGACACGTTCAGTGGGGCTATTTGGTGTCCGCCTCACGTACAGTTCTCACAGCAGAACGACGTGCGTTCCCTAGGTCTTGCCAATGCGGTCGAGGCAGGACGCATTCATTGCGGCTGTGATGTCTGGCTAACGTTCACTTTTCACAGCCGAACGGCTCGGTGTGCTCTGCGATCGTAGGCACACATGTGGCGCCTGTGTCCCATCTCAAACCTGCCGGCAAAGCAATTTGCGTCATTGGAGAGTTAGCAATTCAGTTTACCGATTGTACGTCCGCACCTGAGTGCAGCAGCTCCTAGCTCCGGATCAGATTATCAACACACGATTTATATATATATATATATATATATATATATATATATATATATATATATATATATATATATATATATATATATATATATATATATATATTTATCTCGTTCGTGGGCATCTACTGTGTACTTCGCGTTGCGCTTCATTCCTTCACAGGACCATTCTACAACCCGGTAATAACCCTGGAGATTGCTGGCCTTTTCATGGCAGCAGCGGCCAGGCGATCATTCGTCTCTCGGCTCCCATTATTGTCACCGGAGTATCTTTAGAGCATCTGCCTAAATCTCTGGCACCCAACGGACGTTTGGACTCTGCACCCAAAGATTTCCAACTCAAAGTAAGTTTGTCATCCCACCCTCAATTCTCCTCCTTTATCTCTTTGCGCACTCGATACATGCTACAACCAGACGTTTCATCTGTTGGGAATTATCTGTAGCGCGCATTCCATCCATCGCGTAAAGCTCGCGACCATACTCATTTGAAGCAGTGCCTTGGCCATTAAAGGATAAACTGCGCCGTTTCATATCTGGTCACCGTGACTCCCGCCATTTTCCGGCGGAGTGGTTTTAATCGCTTCCTCGGGAGAACTACATCGCTAATAGAAAGAATGCACACTTCTTACGAATCCTGAAAAGAAGAAACGACAGCATAATGCTTTCTCTGCTATGTGTTGCCCATCTTACCGAGAATTCCATGTTTTTCCTCTCTGTTCGGTACGAAGTTACCAGTCAACAGACTACCCGAAATAAAGCTCTTTCCGTACCTCATTTTTAGGGTCTGAAATCTGAGCATGATGAAGAGGGAATCGTTATCGGGAGTTTCGTATATGATGTTGATGGTCCTCCTATACAGACATTTCCAATCGAGGTAATTTTCCATTTACATTCCACTTTGTGACCCTCGCCGCCAATTTTCCTCGATACGCCTGACTCAGACAGTAGTTATCATTTCACCCTTCATAATGACTACTCTTTTGATCACCACAAGATTTGCACCGGATTAGCTCATAATTTTAGAAAATTCACTCTTAGGTCATAAATTGATTTTTATCCCCGCCATTGGTACTTTTGCTGTCTACAGTCACTCACAGTGACCCAAAACATCATAGGGGAACAATTGTTGAGCAAGAAACTCGTATCACTACGTATTTTCCTTCTATAAATTGGTGCGCTATCTGTTTCATCACACTGAACGAAACCATCTGGATATTGGACGCCGCGTAGACGGGATACTATGTGTTTTGGGATGCATTCTTTTCTCTCAAACAACTCTCTTTTGTTCTCATTACAGAACACCTCAAATGTGTGGCAGTTCGTCGAATTGGCCATTCTTAGCAACCATGGTCATCCGGCATACACATGTGTTTACCGCATCCGGGTGCATGGCGTGGTTCCTGATCTCCAATCTTCCCTCACTAACTCCTGAACCTGATCTGCGGCATTATTTTGCTTCTCAACTTTTTATCGGTTTATTTTGGTACACTTGTACATAACGTTACAGCGCCTTCCACGTCATTTGTGTTTTCTGTAATCTACCGGCACTTGTTCTCATCAATTTTGGATTGTTTTGAACGGCACCGTTACCTAATAATCGTCAGTATCAAAAATTACACATTTTGGTGGGCCTCTGCCATAGTCACCAGCCTTCAACAATCGATCTGTTGCTTTATTGTTTAGCTGACACTGGTTGTACCAATAATCTAATGGCTTCTTACATATTGCTGGCGAGCGGCGACATTCCTCCGTTTTTGAGTGAATAGATGTCGTTCCCATCCGTATTTCATTCGCCATCACTTCTCTCTGACTGTTGCTCCTGTTGGGTACGCTTTCTTCCGCGTTATAGTGCTAAAAGATCATGCCTTCAGAGAGGTCCAAAGACGAAGTGTGTTATCATCCACAAGGCTCGATCTGGTGCTGCCATCGTTATTGTAGGAGCAGCGGTTGGTTTCCACCTGTTCTGAGACTAATTCACACTGCTCTACCAGTTGGAACCTTTTCTGGCCTTGACGGAAACCAGGATGGGCCTATATCGACCGTACACTGGCTTATTGGAGATGCTTATGCGAATGCAAATTAGCTCACTAAGATTTTACCTTAAACGGTTTAGCGAGCACTGTACTGGCGTTGTTGGTGATTTGGTCACTTTCGTAGTAATAATTGCGATAGCTTAGGTAGGGACTAGCATAAGCGATTAGATCGGTGGTCAAAGTCCCGTTTGCACATGATGCAGTCTGGGAGTCTAACCTTTCTATGCTCGGTCTCCCCTGTTTGATAGTCCTGACTTGTCGTTCCGTTTGATTATTTTTATTCTCCTCGTGTTTTTCATTTTCCTGCATTGACATATCATAACGATGCGAGTGAATACGGCTGTGTCCACCTTCATTTGGCGCTAGGGTAACCGTCGGAGAATTGTACAATTGGTCAATCAATTACATGTCAAGCGTTGTACTCAAGTATGACTGGCAAAACTGACTTAACAGCGGCACTAATTAGCCACTGGCCTGCCGGCTTATACCTCTTGACCTGTCACGTTGTTGTCGGCTTCAAACATTTCTGACCTCTGAGCAATCAATCTTTCGGGTGTCTATCGCAGTGTTTCCTGAACTAGCCCAATACTTCTCTGCAGCTATTTTTCATATCTCGATTTGTAACCGCAAATCTATCACTAACCAGTTAGGGTGATTATAAACGGCCCTGTGGGAAATTGTCGCCTGACTAGCAGAGTTCATGTGAGTTAAAAGAGTCCTCCTGTCGTATTTTATTATGATCGCAAAAATGCGTCCCTCTAACGACATTTGCTGGGCAACAAAAGTCGTCAAATCCTTTCAATAAGGACCTCTATGCGCAACTAGGCTGCTATGGGCTATTCGCTAGCTAGATGGGAGACAAGAGTTGCTTTAGGGCACCAAAACTACGATTAACACCCATTTTATACTCCACGGATCTGTCGCATGGATGTGCATGCTGTACACCAAAACACCGTGATGAAACAACTTCCCGAAGTTATCACGAACACTGGGCTTTGTTGATGTTTCATCGCAGTGACACCTGCTATAAACCGGACACGAGCTCAGTGCTTTTATGGTTGACAGTCTAAACGGAAGAACCTGGTCTGGAAAGCATGGAGAATAAGGATGAGAATACGGCGGTTCCTGATGAGTGTATTCGTGCTGGGATTCACAACAGGCACAACTGTCATTGTTGTTCGTGATTTATCATCGGATACATCCCATTTGACTGCGCCTTTCGGCTCAGTTAACTATGCCGATTTTGCATTACTGTACTTAAGCTGGTTTGTGCTGCATTTTCACCGCATTCTTGTCTTATCAGTGAAATCCTCAAGGTATGCGCGCTGTCCGCCAGCATTTTTTAGTTTCAACTTCAATTGTGGTAGGTCGAACGAATAAGCCACTGCGTACGTAACTTAGCACATGCGAGTATATGTACAGGTTTTACGCTTTCGTCGTGTTGTTTTTGGGTTTGAACATGCATATGCCATATCGTTTTAGTGATGCTACACTCAGAGGATTAATTAGGCATATATCCCTCAAAAGAAAAAAACATGCAACAGATTCATGCCAACTGAGCTATCAGTAACGCATGGGCATCCTTCCGGAAAGCTACCAGTCGGCTACTGCGCAGCAGAAAAAATTAAAGCAAATTACAGTATGCTAAGTAATGAGATCGTGATTGGAGCGGGAGGCTAAGAGGGATGCTGTGGGACAAAGAAACTTACAGCACGAACGCCATTGAGGTCGGCTCCTTGTCATGTCAGCAAATGTATCAAGCCAAACATGTTCATCGTCTTTCGGACCCCAACCAGGGAGCCGAGACGCTTTAACTGAAGCCAGTTCCGAAGTGAGGGCCTTCATTCCTCTGGGCCAAGTCATCGCTTGGCCACCTCTCCTTCCATCCACACCCCTGGCGCGTAAACAACGCACATCGCAGGAGGCGGTGGGCTGGCATGCGTAACACATGGCCGAGCCATCAGAGCCTGGTGCATGAAATAACGGTGCTGAGCGGTTCATTTCCTTTTCCTGTGCCGTAAACAAGACGTCGAATACGCTCGTTGCTCACTCGGTGTTCCCACCAGATGTGAGCTGAACTGCGAAGGCACCGATGGTCGAACGTAACTAGCCTCCTTATGTCGGCTGATCTGAGGGTCAGGTTTCACAACCATACAGTAGGGTCGAACATACCGCTGCACTGTACACTCTACCCTTCAGAGCGAGAGTGATGTCGCGCCAGCGCCATAACTAGCGAAGACTAGCAGAAGCGTCTCGAGCTTTTGCTATACGGTTCGTGATCTCACCTTCAATCCCACGGGCGCTGATACAACTTCCCAGGTAGTTGCTTTTTGAACAACCTCTAGCTGATCCCCACCAAGGGTCAGCGCAGGAGGCGGTCCAGTCCAATCTTAGAGGAACGCCTTGCATTTCGAGGTTGCAAAGCGAAGCCCAAAGCGGCTGACTGCCAGTGCTAATCTGTGCAGGTTTGTGAGCTGTCAAAAATGAGGGCAATATCGTCAGCATACTACAAATTAAGAAGTCGTTCTCCTGGGAGCAGCTCCACACCCAGGTAGTAACCAGGGAACGCTGTTTCCGTGACTTCGCCAATAGCGAAGTTGAAAAGCAAAGATGACAGCGAGCATCCTTGTCTCACGCTGCCAGAGATATTAAAGGGCGGCGACAGCTGGCCGTAAGTCCTCACTCTGCTCCAGCCACGCGCGTATAATGTTCGGATAATGTTGGGCACCCCTTTTCTTAGTAGACAGTTCCAAAAGGCACATCGATCAACCAAATCGAAAGCGCCTTTGCTGTCGAGCAACACGACAATGGTGGGCCGCCAATATATGTGACTGTGCTCCAACAGCTGGCTCAAAGTGTAGATGTGGCCGATGAAGCCACGACCTCCACCGCACGCGGATTGTTATTCACGAATCTGGCTTTCATGATTGCCATTCCTTATTTGTAGGATGACAGAGGGAAGTAATTTGGAGGCGATGGGGATCAGACTGATACCTCTATGGTTGCCGCATTATGATCGTGAGCCTCCCTTGAAAATTGGGACCATGGCGGAGCAGCTTCAGTCGGTTGGGACACTTCCCTGCTCCCCCAGTTTCATTAGTAACCCGTGTGAATCATCCACAAGAAAAACGTCCCCCGAATTCGAAGACCGGATGATCATCCGGTCATGCCGCTTTATTCGACTTCAGCAGTCCGATCTCACGTTCGACTTCTGAGCGAGAGGGCGGATCCGAAGGGACAGCCGAGGAAGCACGGTGATCAGTGATCGGCGAGAAATCTGGCATTTCCGACCGTTTAAACTGCCTTTCAAAGTGCTCAGCCCAGCGTTCTAAACATTTGGCAAGTTGTGGATAGGCAGTCCACTCAGGTCACAAATATTTCGCTAGCACCAGGTCTACTGTTGCCCGTTTCCTTTATCAGACAGATTAAGTCGATGGTTACCAAGGGCAGCGGCCATTTCCATCTTTGACGCACTAATAGACCACCATGATTTGCGGTCTCTCTCCAGGCTAGCGCAAAGCTTTGCCCTCAGGACTGCGAGTCCCATCGTGTTTGCTTCCAGCCGGAATGTGCCGGTAAGCGTCGACTAGTTCCAGAGACTGCGAAGTGGCCAAATATCCATGTTGACGATTAGACTTACCATACGAGGACTTGCCCGCTGCTAGTAAGGTCTGGTGAATATGAGATCAGTGACCTTCAATTTGATCCAATGAGCGCTTATTCAAACCGCATGTCAGCGTACTTTGAAAGGCATTCAGAACAGCTGGTTTCGCCAGTTGGCTGGTGTCAATGCGTTCACAACGTCGTCTTGGGCGTCCGCCAAAACGCATCCGCAGGTCAGCACATACAAGTGCATGGTCGATGTCCACACGTGTGCACCAAATCGATCAATAGCTTTAGAGACAGCCTCTCCAGCAGTAACTGATCGTAATGTGATCGATTTGCGTCCGTAGTTGGTTCGAGACTGGTGGGCGCCAAGTCACCCTCCGGCGGGTGCTGTATCGGAAGTTAGTGCTCGCAAGAAATAAGCGCGCATCTTCATTTCTTTCTTGTATTGCGGCACAGTAGCTGAGGTGTTTTTCACCTTAAGCTAATACGTATAATTAATGAATGAATGAGATATATCCCCTCGGGTGATGCGCCAGAGCTGGTGGTGCTCAATCCAAACGTTAACGATGTGCCCACCATCCTGGCTGCTGGTTATAAAAGATTGTCAACCACCACTGAAAGATATTCGGTGTAGTGACAGTGTTTCCTGTATGCAATGAACCATATCCGCGCGCAGGCTATCATCTCTTGTTACCTGCGTAGTCATAGAGGCTGTGAGGAGCACAGCACTTCAAACAATGTGGCAGTCCCTACATACCTCGTATACAAATTTGTCCGTTACTTTAAAATATCAGGACAAATGTTAGCGAACAAGCTCGTTTTCAGTGGTTCCTCATCAGGCTAATACACCACAAATGAATGACACGAACGTAAACATCAATTAAGAGTACAGGTTCAAAACCCAGATGGTCTGAGTGACCAAGCTAGGCGATTGGCCACACGGCGATCAACAGTTTGTTTGTGTGT